CCAGAATTAAGAGCCCCGCCACCGTTTGATTTTAGCCACAGGTGCGCCGACTCAACGAGCTTCCCGGGAGTTGGTTGAGAAGCTCCTGTGGTTGAAGCCAAACTTTTTTTACATTTCTGGTTTTGACACCTGTGCCCAATCTTTCGTCAATCACATGCTGATTTAATTACGAGTAGTCACGTGTATGAAAGAGTTTGCTTCACTTGTGAAGAGAGCAGAGCTGGATGCCTCTTCAACAGCACGGTGGCCTGCAAGACACGGTAACGCAAGCTCTTGACTTTTAAATATTCAACCTTCCAAGCGCCTGGCTCAGCACCCCGATATTTGGTCGGCATGTCAAAGACCTGCCGGGGCCCAAAACTCCACAGGATGGCGGCCATTTTATGGGTCGTTCTGTCGACGTGAGCCTGTGGAGACAGAAATGTTTGGGATTTGGTCTGTTGTACGGCGGTATCTTAAAATGTGGCAGTTCTACCGTGTTGCAGTCAATTTGGCCATTCTGTAGCGGATGCAAAGCCTGTGGATAGAAAAAGAGACAAATTAGATGGACTTGCTCCAAACGGTTCAGGACTTAAATTCAACATTACAACGCACAGCGAGTGGCCAGTGTTAGTCCATTTGAAGATTTGTACCTGTGAACAGAAATGACACAATTAACACGCACGCATGCACGTTTGTTCGGTTTAATTCTGAATTTAGAAAGGAGTTTAATCTACTTACCCTCTCGGCGAACGTCGCTTTCGTCCTAGAAGGTTGGAGGGGGAAAAAAAAGGTTTTGTTGCAAAGTAAGGTCGCAGGAGACGTTGATTGCTCACGCTTGAGCAAACATTTTTGCTTAAGCATGTTAGCCTGGTGCGAGCACGCCGAAAGTGCTGCTTTCCATTCAAAGGGAGCGAAAGCGGTGTGTTTGAAGAGGCTATTAAAGAGTAAAAAACTCACCTTGTTGGAAGTTTTCCGTGGTGGACGGCCGTGCAGAGCTGGAGCAGCGGGAGGACGAGTGGAGGCTGTCGAAGGTGAGAAAGAATGAGCGCCTCGTTGGCCCGGCTTAAATAGGTTTCAATCAATGACGTCACTTCCGGAAATGAAAAAAAAACTTAATTTGAAACAGGAAGTGAGTGTGAAGATGTGTGGAAAAAAATCCGAGTGAAATGACGTAGGCTTTGCCAAAGGACGGCTCCGGGGTTCGAACTCGAGTTCACCAGTGGAGAATCCCTGTCATATTCCACTGGACTGTTCTTCCACAATGACGTCACCTACTATTGTAGATATCTATTGTGATCAGTCCCGTTGAATTTGTAGATCTATAAATATAACCACCCGAAAAGCTTGATCAGTGTCTTAGCGTGGTCGAATGGCTAACAACAATACTTGGTACCCGGGAAGCCCGGGTTCGATTCTTGCCCAATTTATAAATGGAGCACATGGTGGGGCTCGAACTCGGTTCGCCTGATCACCACGCGATGTCTTTTACCACTCGACCATTCTGTTGCGAAAATTTCGAAATTTTTACATGTAATCATAGGTCAGCATTTGGTTGTGTTCAGGTTCAAAAAAGGAACATGTTTGGTGAGACACTTGGCATCTCTTATGGAGTGTTCGCTTCTGCTTCAAACTTCTAACTTTGCACCTGGACGAGGTGACGAGAAACCTTCAAACCCGGGTCCGACTCTTGCTAAATGTAAAAATGGAGAGCAGATGGAGGATCGAACTCGTTCCGCCTGCCGACCCAGCGATGTGTTTTACCATCAGGCCATCACGGCATGAAAATTTCGCAATTTTTATATGTAGTCAAAGGCGGCCGACCATACGAGTCCGGTTTCAAAGGTAAAAAAAAAAACATAATTGGTTGGCGTCTCTCGTGGGCGACGTGACGGCACGCCAACCTCACCCATCGCCAACCTCACCCATCACCCACGCCAGTATTTCCTACCGCTGCCTGTCTTCAGAATGCCATCTTGAGATCAGGAGAGAGAGTTTGCAAAGCCAACTTCGTTTTCGATTGAAGACGAGTTGCACAAAGAGATCGTGTCGTTTTGTCATTTTGCTTTCTTGGCGATCGTGAATAAAGTGCAAATAAAACACCCATTACGCACATTTCCAAAACGTGCAAGCCAACTTTATTCATTGTTGCAAGATGCTTTGTTGATCAGGGCAACTCCGCTGGAATAGTTGAGACGCAAGTCTCGTCTGGATGCTTGCGAGGTGCTCTTTGCTGGTCCCAACGGGGCCGGGGGCTGAAGAACCTGAAAAAAACCCAAAGGATCGCGGTGAAATCAAACTTCGTTTCAGATTGGGGAGGAAACATCGGATGACTTTCTGAGGGCTCTGATAACTTTTCCCCCTCAAAGTATTCACTGTATATCGATCAACGTCCCCCCCCCCACCACCACTTCCAAAACAAAGTTTACCCAACTACGACAATGCATGAACTCCAGCCGAATTGCGGTCTCTTCCCAGCCCCTGCGCCACCACGAGCAGCCCGTCACAGCTGGACGGGGTCAGAAACATTTCTGTCTCAAACTCCAGCAGAGGGCCCGCCATTGGCAAGGGGAAACAATAAACCCGATTTCGCTTTCCAATGTCAGCTAACAGCAGTAAGAATCATTGTAAAATTCGACCGCAAACTCGCAAGAGGCTCGCGCCCGTCGTCGGCGGGGTTGACAAGGGCTTTTCGAAACGTAAGGGCGCCGTCTACTGGTGACCAATAGGAATGACAAACCTTCGACTGAAGTGGCTCTCAACTTTACAAGTAGTCCCACCGAAAAAATACAACTCCCTGTGTACCTTTATCAGGTGCTGTCTCACCATGTTGGTCTTTGTTGTTGTGTTTATGATCCTCTGGACGAGTTGGAACTGGGAAAGTCAATTCCTTCTGCATACCTGTCAACATTGGCTAAAAGCTGCCCTTATAAATGATTTGAAAGCAACAAAAACCCGTACAACGGTTTACCGTACATGCGCACATCATGCTTTATCAATCCGACCGTACGCAGCGATGAAAAAAATATATACGATTGAGGATTACTTTTGCTGGTTTGCCGTGACAATAGTAGCGATCGACGACGGTATTGTCGTTGGCTACCAGCAGGTGAGACGATCTGGATTTGAGCCAAAATGGTCTTTGTGAGATCGGTTCACAATTGTTTTTGGGGTTTTTTTCCTGTATAAAAGTTGTAATACGCTGTGCATGATTTGAAATGATCCAAAAACGTATAAAATACGGGGAAAACGTACAATTGACAGGTATTAGAACTGACGTCACATCCGCCAATGCAAGGCAACATTTTCTGCTTGTTTATCTGCGCTTTGCACACTATCGCCGCCTGGTGACCGGTCATGATGACTGCTTTGGCTTGCCGTCGAAATTAGTGGTTACATCGCACACTTTATCGTCTTCAGGCGCCGCGTTGTCGCTATCTCCTGTCCAATATGAGAAATGCTGCCGGTGTCCAAAAGAGAGGAGCCGCTCTTCCATTTGTGTCCAAACATAACATCCAATGACGAAAAGAGACACGGACCATGACCACATTTTGGTCAGGTATGAATAACGGGCTTACTCATGTAAGTCGAGGGGTTCGTAGGTTTTAGATGGATTTGCTCTACGTTTAGAATGGACAAAAAGCAGAGGACGACTTCGTTTGAACACAGCTCTTCTCTTTTTTTTATTTTCCCAACGGCTGCCTCCTAACTCTCTAACGAACACTCCCCTTTCCGGTAACGACCCCTCCTTCCTGCTTTTCTTCACCAATCACATGCAAGCAACATAAGAACATTTCAGGAAGTATTAAACAGAACACAATTAAAGTAACCAACATAAAAGAATATAATGCTTCAATATAAAATGACAATAATTAACAATTCAACAAAAGCTTACATTCATGTTGAGAGTAAGAAGGGTGGGTGGCGGTGGCAAGGAGAGAACATGCAAATTCCACACGGGAAGGCCGGGACCGGAATCCAACTCTGCAACTCTGCACTGGGAGGCTCCTGTGTCACGTTTCCATGAGTACAAACCTGCGTCTCGCTTCAACGTGCAAAGCCACTCCGCTGTGCTCAGGGCTGTTGTTCTTTTGTGCATGTCACAGGGTACCGGCCCGCAGGGTGTGTTATGTATGTTCTGGCTCGGGTGTTTATGAATGTAAAAGGAGTGTGAGACAGGGTGTGTTTATATGCCTATTTGGATGTGTGTGTTTCGGTGTCTGACTGACTGTGGAAGAAGGCTGAGATTGGCGTGTGGCCACCAAGCATCACTTTCCATTACATTGCATGACACCATTGTTTTCTCTGTTGGGAGTTCATTGCTAACTTTTGAATCATCAATCCCGCATTCAAAAACGTCGTCAGAGAGAATTTGTTAGCGGTTAACAATGTGTACGGATTGTGATGTGAATTATGATGATGTAACGTTTTGCATTCATCTTAATCCACGGTTCGTTGACTCTGAAAGTTGAGTCACATTATCATTGGATGTTGCTTTTTTTTCAGGAAGGAGAGAAAAAAAAGTATTTTTTGATTAGAAAATTATATTAAATATTTTTGTGCTACTGGACAATTGAAAATTTGGATTCTGGTTCCATTAGCTTACATTTAGACAATAAATGGTCCCGTGGAACCCCGTTATTCCCTTGACTTCATGTCAAATTTTTGTTTGTCGTCTCTCTACAATAAGGTACTGCCGTCTACTGTATATTAAAAATGTCAAAAGCATTGAGTGCCTTCTGCTCTTTCACCGGATATCATTGATGATCCAGGTGTACAACTCTGCCACACAAAGAGCCTTTTTCTCTCCGAGCGTGTGAAACGCGTTCAATCTCTGGGTTTTCCAAAGAACACAAAACATATTCTTGTCTAAGCGGTGAGGTCATGCAATCACAATTCGGCTCTCGCGGGCCACAGCAACGTGAGTGACACATACACGACACGGAAAAGAGATAAAATGATTGGAAGTACTGTTGAGAAATTTAGTCCTCGGTGCGTTGATGATCACAAACACACACCAGTCATATTTATTTATTCTTTTTATTGGCAATATGTCTCAAATGTAAAGATGTTTCCGTTACAGTTGTTGCCGACTATCAAGGTGAAACCAAAGTGGCCGAACTGCTTCGTGAAAATACTTCACAACGCTCACCTCAACGTCAAGGAGGTCTCACGCACTCAAAAAACGGCATTGTGCGTTCCAAATGTTACACACGTGTTTTGTTTTGTTTTCTTCCTGCTAAAAGAGAAGTCTCGATGCTTCACCGTGCGCGAGCATCATCTCAGAAAGGCACAAGTGCTCCAGTTTTAAGCGTCGGCGCTGAGCTGAAGACAAAGCGATGGCTCATCCTCATTTCAGCCGAACGGCAAAGTGAACAAGAAGCCACACGTGATCCCGTGGCATGCCGCCGTATGTCAACTAAAGCGCAATAATTTACAATTTTTTTTTCTTTTTTTGTCTATTGATCTGAAACTATAAGCAGAGAACGTAAGACACTGACATTATTTTGGTCAATATATAAATGTTTAAATTTCATCGTTAGCAAAAATATACAAACCAAAGATGAAACACCCTTTTTTTTTTTAAATGTCCCGTATACTTTATAAATATTAAACCAGGTATGAATTTAAATGAGCATAGAGCCATCTAGTGTTCAAAGACGATGCATAAACAATTGTCAGCCCTTTCTGAGTGGTCACTGCGAGTCATTTTCGTTCTCGGTTAATAACGGCATTTCAAAAGGACTTGCTTGCGTTGGTTCGATTGCACAAATCTGATCAGAAACTATTTGGGCGCGACTTTTCTGGTGCGCCGACTGTACGATGCTCCGCAGTGGCTACATGCGAGCGCAAAGGCCGAGTGACCATTCAGAAAGGGTGCCTCAAGTGGCGCGGGCTCCTTCCTTACAAGGCCTCGAACTCGTCAATCCTCTGCTTGGTGTTGCCTTGCCTGATCTGCCGCAGGGTTTTGTATTTGTCTCGTCCTTCCCGCACGTTCGCCGAATGGAGGAGGTCGTTCTGGGTGTTCTTGGACTCGTCGCGCGCCTGGGCCAGCTCGGCGGTCAGATCCTGAAGGAGAGACGGCGAGGCAATGAGGCAAGATGTCCGCTCGTGATATTATCTAACATGAGATGATGTCCAACTGTCCCCGGCACAAAAGTTTGCCCGCTTCTCGAGAGAAGGACGTTTTCGGCGGTTACCCTGAGCTGCTTCTGCACGCGTTGGTTCTTCTGGGCCTCCGTCTGGCGATCCTCCTCCTTGTGGTAATTGTTGTTGTGGATGGCCTCGTTGTGCAGGTCGGCACTGTACATGCTGCTGCTCTCGTCATCCTCGCTGTTGTCGTCGAAGTTGTACATAGCCAGAGGGGGAGGCGGTGGCAGCGGCATTTCCATCACCGTTTGCCTCGGCGTCTGCATCGGCGCCTGCTTCGGCGTCTGGAGCTGCGCCTGCTTCGGCGTCTGTAGCTGCGCCTGCAACGGCGTCTGCGTCGGCGCGTGCATCGGCGTCTGTATTGCCGTCTGCGCCGGCAGCGGCGTGAGCATCTGCATCTGCATCGGCGTCAGCATCGGCATGGGCGTCATCATCGGCATGGGCAGCGCAGGCGGGGGAGCCATCCTCGCCATGTTCAGCTCCTGCTTGGTCTTGATCAGATCGTCCTGGGCCTCTTTGGCCTGATGAGGAACACAGCGATGTGTACGTACGGCTGTTTGCCTCTCAGAATGCGTTTGGTTTCTCAAGCACTCACCCTGAGCTGCCACGTGTCCACCTCATTCTCCTTGCGTTTCCTGGCCTCCTCCAGCAGAGTGATTCTGGCCGTGTGCTCCTTCAGCTCCGCAGCCTGACGCAAAACATGACATACTCGAGAGGAGTGTCCATCGGAAAGTCAAATCTCAAGACTCAAGAGGAGCACTGCGGTTTTCGTCCCGGCTGCGGAACAGCGGACCAGCCCCGGCCATCGCGCCCGCCAGCAGCCGCCCGCCCCGCCCCTCATTAACGATTACATTCCGGCGAGTGACGGGCCGCACCCCATCGCCGATTACGTTTTGGCGCATAACAGCCCGTCAATGACAACTTTTCAGCTCCAATAAAGCACTGACCAGCTGTTCCTGACTAATCTTCTGGGTCTCCGACTGGCGAGCCAGCGCTTCTTTAGCCAGCAGGGCAGCCTGACGCTCCGCCTCCAGTCGGGTAGCCTCTTCCTCTGCTTTTAAACGTTCCCGATCCAGCATCACGGCCCTCTGTGTCTGCTCCTGCAAATCTGAAATATATGCAGAATAAATATGAGGATGATTGTGAACAGCTCTGTTGCGACAAAGTGTATTTTTGTGCTGCAGAAACGACTGCAGCGTGTGGGAATTTGTTACGGACGCAAGTCATTATAAAAAAAACGAAGGGAAAGGTCTTCCCCATGGGGCTCAAACTGCTTGCCCCGCTTTTTGATATGGTCCCCACCGTGCTCTGCCTTCCTGATCTTCTCCTCAAACTGGTAGAGCCTCATTGTAATGTCCTTCTTCTCCCGCTCCATCTGCTCCTTCTCCTTCTCCACGGCCTCCCTCCTCTTCTTCTCTTTCTCCAGCTGAGCTCTGCAGGGAAGGCATTTGCCATTAGCCAACAAAGACAGGCCAGGAGGCAGAATGCAGAAATCCGTTTGGGTTTTTTTTTTCTTTTTTTGGAGGACTTCATCATCCTCATTAAAGTTGCAGGTGAGCTGGAGCCCAACATAGCTGACTTTGAACGAGGATAAGGATGTTCGATACCATTTTTTTTGTTTTCTCACCCATATGAAGTAGGGCGCCAGTGAATGGTATCCATGACTGGTATCGGCAGCAGTCGTGGAACCTCGATACCTCAAAACAAGGCTGGTTTCGGCCCGATACCGGTACCTGGTATCAGTACTCGTCCACCCTAAATAATTCTCACTTATAAAATGACCATAACTGTCACTCTTGCGGTTGGACTGCATCATCCAGAGAGGTCGCGAGACCCAGTTGGCTTTTTCCATTCCATTTCTTACACTGCTTGCACTCCATGTTTCCTCCAGCCACATTCCGCCATCTGATGTTTAATCATATGCGGATTAGAGGTATTAAGGGACTCATTACAAGTCACCCTGCTACTAAATAGCCAGCTGCCGAGCACGAGCGCATGCTGCTATTGACCGTGCCGTCCGCTTTCTAAACATCAGCATGTTTAAACAGCTGTAAAGGGGACTGACAGCTGTGGTCGAGACCGGCCTCTACGTCCATTCACTTCCCATTCAAGAAGGAAGACAAGGAAAAGTGCGCTTACTGTACAGCGTACGGCGGTTTCCCTTTTCTACACGTTAACGACGCCGTGTTGAGTTTGACAATAACAACGGGATCAGCCTGCGGTAAATCGGCTTCGGTCTTGGCGCTCTAATGGCTTTAATCTGCTCCACGGAGGAGAAGTTTTGAGAATTGTCGATACAATACGGAGAAAAATGTCTGCCCGTTAAGATTTTGGTCCTCCGTGCACCGCCTGGGGTGGGAGGTGGGGACTCATTAGAGGTGTGCAAGGATTATTTGGAAAAATTCATATATAATAAGTTAACCCTTTCATGGACAGGGGTTACTCCAGTGGACAGCTTTTCAGGTTATCAGCTTACAGGGTGCATGGAAAGGTTAATGGGGGGG